ATATCTCATTAAAACTGGTGTAGAATGTGTTGTATGCCAGGTTAACACCCTGTTGTCTGTAGACCCTGTCCCAAGATTGAATAGACAAATCGTTTTTAAAGTTGTTTGACTTATAGTTTTTAAATTCTCTGTATTATTTTTTTTGTACTGTGTGACTTATTAACAGAAAGTACATTTTCAAAAAATAGCATATATTGGGAAGTGGTCAGTTACATCAGTTGTAATGGTACCAACATGTGTGCAACATGTATTAATATTGGAATATATGTGGTCAATAATAGTACTGCTGGTACTAGTAACACGAGTTGGAACACTAATAAGTTGGTATAAATTAAAACTTTCGAGAGTTGCTAAGAAATTATCCGAATGGATGTTATTTTTTGAGACATCAATGTTGAGATCACCTGAACAAATTATCTTGTTTTTACTACAAATCTGAAAATATACACACATTTAATGTCACAGACCTTCACAGGAACACATAAAGTCTAACAATTCTGTCTACAATTATATCTTTATTTATGAGTTTCGCTTAAATGTAGATTTTGCATTTAATTCCACTTTACAATTTTAACATTTCATTATGTATATATGTGTGTGTTTTTTTCGTAGATTTGCGAAGTATGATTGCACACTTAAGGAAACGATGAGTATTGCAAGTGAATTAAAACGAGATGTTGTATAAACAACGACACCAAAGCTATTTGATTAAACATGTGAAAATAAACAGGATTTCAAATTTATGTCTCTACAATGTAAAATATAATATAACCATGCAGTAATTTTCATTTGTTTTTCCACAAGAGTTTAAACATATGAAAGTTGCTAAATAATTTTATATTTTATGGTAACTCGTGACATTTCGTAAATAAATATATCTTTCTGTATAGAGATGCTGTTAAAGACGGAATTCATAACAGTGGATCCTTACATGAGGTAATAGTCTTCTTTTTCTAAAGAACATGATTTATTTGTGTCCTATTGCCCCCTATGTGTTATAAACCTTAACATGTGTGTTATCAATCCAGACATTTATGCCTCGAATATTAATGTGTATATATAGGGAACACAGTTTCACATTCATCGGTGTAAAGTTATCATTTGATGCCAACTGCTACCAATAATTAAACTACTTGTTATATACTATTTTATTTAATGAAACACTTGACAGAGCGAGCAGTGCTTCTCTAAGCATAGGGGATACCATTGTTGGCGAGCAAGTTGCTAGGTATGTATACAACAACTGGTTTGAGACAACTCGTACAAAAGAGAATTATCCCGATTATATGTATTATACAGATTTATGTATTTATATAGTATAATCGTTTGTATTATTATGTAGGGTGATTGAAAGTCGTCATGCAGACTATCCTGTTGGCACTGTTGTAGTGAATCGCAGTGGATGGACTACATATAGCATTTCGGATGGCATAGACCTAGGATTCTTCTCTAGCGTAAGCAATTGTACACAAATGTTCATAATCAATTAGTGACGATTTACTGACTGAAATATATGCCAACAGAACATACAAAATACATTACAGTAATGTACCGACGCTATATCAGACATTGCATTACACTAAATATTGACTCTCGGAAGGCATCACACTGAGATATTAGTTATATACCGAGATACTGGCATTCTGAAGGTGAAAAGGGGGATTACTATGAGCTATTTGCGCGGTATACATGAAAAGGGCATTACACTAATATATTGGCACCAAGAAAAATATATGTTTACACTTAGATATACTTGAACGTTGAATGGGCATAGTACTGGGGTATTGTCAAACTACGTTGAAGAGACAATAGATTGAGGTATTGCCAATACAAATTGAATCTCACATCGCACTGAGATATATACCTGAATGTGAAACGTGCTATACACGTAGATATTGGCACCAGGATTTGAAATGTGCATTACATGTAGATATTGCCACCAGGATGTAAAATGTGCTTTACACTGTAATATTGGGAGTGTGAACCGGGAATTGCAGGATTTTGTTATTGTTATGGCTGTGCTTCACTTGTAGCCGAACATATAAATACACTGAGATATTTATCTGTTGGTATTTGAAATCATAATAATATGTTTAATGATATATACCGCCTGTTGTGTCATTTTCCAGTCTGCAGGATTTCCATTAAGGAAGCTCACATTTCCACCTGACTTACCACTGTCCTTGGCACTGGGAGTTTTAGGAATGCCAGGGTAAGTGACTCTATAAATTACATACGATCGATTGACACAATTTCAGATTATTATTATCATTCTTTTACTTCGTCCACTTTATTTCGTCAACTTCAAGTAGCCAAATTGTTTGTACTATATATACATTGTAACATTATTTGTCCTACAACACTGCTCCAAAAAGTACATATTTAACCGATACTGAGCTTACCTTGGCGAAGCATGACATTTGATATTGCATAAATATAAATAAGTCCATCATTACCCAAAGAAGACATTATGTAAGCAAAATATTGTTTTCTTTCGACGGCGACCAATGGCCGACCCCATAATACATCGGGCAATATATTCAGCTTTCATGACATCGATATACTCAGTTTTTGAGGTGGGAATTTACGTTCTTTGTCATATTGTTCTCAGATTCTAACAAATCAAACAAAGTAAATTGTCATCCATGGATTATTTATTTGTTAAATATTTGCATTGTATCAATATGATAGCATTGGACTATTTGACTCCCTAGTATTCATACAAATCTACATTTATTATAAGCAACATTCATTATTAATATGTTATATTTGAACAGAGGAACTGCATACTATGGCCTATTAGATTTGTGTAAACCTAAAGCAGGGGAAACTGTATTTGTAAATGCAGCATCGGGTGCAGTTGGTGGAATAGTTGGACAGATTGCCAAGATTAAGGTAATTACTGTCAGTATTATTGGACATATCATAATAACAATGACACGTAAAAAATAAATGATTTACACATTTGGGCTCTGCCCGATGAGATTACAAAAACTGATTTTAAGATACAATGTTGCTATTTCTTCTAACAACAAACAAAATTACTTTTCATATTTATTATATGTTTATAAGATACAGCGATTTTCAGCATGCCCTTCATTTGATGAAATCCGGTTACATACGACTTTGTTTGAACTGCAATATATTGAGTTCAATAACCATAACGGTGTCGTTCGTATTGTTTAGTAGGATAGCTTAACCCATATATACGATAATTTATAGTCTTATAACTGGGCAGATCAAACTTTATATGATAACAACTGAACACACTGGGTTGCAGATTTATACTGTTCGTGGCCAAGTCCAATATATCTGACTGATGGAAATTAAGGTCGGTTTCTATCGCTTGCAAATGACAAATGTTATTTTAATAAGTTAGTACACTGGCATTTACAACGAGATACATCAAGCACACATTTCTACTTGTTTTATTAACTTTTATCCATAAACAGCCGTTACGTGTCACCACTTTATATCATGCGACTCTACATTCAGTTCTTTTTGCGCCATCTAATTACACACCCCCCCCCCTACACACACAAGGCAACCACAACATTGCATGTCATGAAAGATACTCTGTTTGCGGGGTTTTGAATACATCTACCAATCATTTCAGGGCTTTTATGCCGGGGCATAGAAATAACTATCCTTTATATAGTACGCATGTAACTATACAATACCTATAGGGATGTACCGTTATTGGCTGTGCTGGTACGGATGGTAAAGTTGAATTACTGAGAGAATTAGGTTATGACAAAGTGTTTAACTACCGAACTGAGAACTTGGACGATGCATTGACTAGAACCGCTACTAATGGTATCGATTGTTATTTTGACAATGTAAGTTCACATATACATATCATAACCTAATATGCATTTGATAATATATCGTATGACGTCATTTGCATCCTTAATGACATGGCAACATATCACGATTAGAATATTTTATTGTATTCTGAGAATAAACTTCCATGATGTATTATGTATAGGTAAATAACATATGCTAATTATAACCAAAATATATATCTCTATATTCTTATTTAACATTATATTGTAGACAATGTTGTGTGATTTATTCCAATATTTCTTAGGTTGGTGGTCCATTTTCAAATACAGTGTACAAACATCTCAATGTATTCGCTCGTGTGGCTGTTAGTGGGTCGATATCACAATACAATAAAATCAATCCTGACAAAGGTAAGCAGTAGGTCAAGTTTCAAATGTTAAAAACCAAAACTGTATTATCAGAATATTATTATGTGGCAAATATTTATTAATTGATGGTTAGTTCAAATAAAGTCTTTTCATTCCACCTCGTCATTATGATGTACAGTTTTGATCCCTGATACTAACACTTATTTCTTACATCAAGTAACACCAATGGAGATCACCGTGGCCTCGAAAAGCTTGACCATAAGAGGATTCTTTTTTCCCCGTTATCAGCAGCAAGCTTCACAAGCATATGATGAAATGTTGGAATGGATAACTGAGGTAATACCATATATATATATAGATGATGACATTAGATAACATTATAACATGGATCCAATATGTAGTACATGAATGATTTTATACATTAGATTATTTAACTTTAAGGGAAAACTGAAATACAAAGAAGACGTTACTGTAGGATTTGAACACACACCCAGCAAGTTCATTGGTTTGTTCTCTGGTGCTAATATTGGCAAAGCTATAATAAAGATCTAGGTACGTATGACATCAAATATAGACTAGCATGTGTTCACATATTATTAGCTTGATTTCTGATTATATGAATTATATCTATTACAGAGTAAGCTGTTGTGGCGAATTAGTTATGACATACAGCATTGAAATGAAGTCGTATCATGAACAAATAACGACCAATTGAAGCTGAGAATTAAATGTAATTTTACAATTAAAAAGAGATATTGATACATCTTGGGGAAACTTTATAATGTGATTCCTTCGTATTACATCTTGAGTCTTCCTGTTACTAGTCTTCGTATTACTAGTCGTGGAACAACTTCATTATGTCCCTAGAATTTCAAAGTTGTTCCTGAGAAAACTTTATAATAAATACTGTTGCGTGATCAACGTATAATACATGTTGTTTCAGGGACTAATTAAGTTTTCGTATTACACTTACTAACGCAAAGTTGTCCCAAGACAACATTCCAATAGCTCGTCGATCCTGCAATTGTTAGTTCGAATCAAGGGTGCTGTGCTCAAAACAAATGTCACATATTTAAACAGTGACGTGTGCACTTTACTTTTGATCATGTGACAACAAGAATTGTCTGCAAAAAATCTGTCCTTTCGTAGTAAATTAATATTGTTGAGAATACGTAAACGAATATTGTCTGAAACGAAGTAATGTAAATGGCGGTGGTCGTCGCGTCGCGCATGTGCGACATTTGTGCTGATAAACACTGATTTTCCCACAATCCAATGCGCTCTACTAATGGAATACATCACAGACACGACTTTTTACCTGGGCGCCACTCGCACTAATTACCGCCGATAAATCTTTAGATACATTACAATCACAAAAGAAATTTCCTAATTAACGCTTAGTCAGTTTGTACTCGATGATCTGCGCAATAGTCAAAGTTGCCATTATTATTTATATGAAACTCATATTTCGCGTACCACTCTTTATTCATCAACTGTTAATCAGTCGCCCAACATCTCAACAACTCTTCTATCTACTCCGACCGAATCACTATACACTCAATAAGACATATTTGTTCTATTAGTTCTATTGGTGTAAAAATACCCTCGTTCACATGTAACAAATACGTCGTTGTCTGCGTCACATAAGCCGGTGTTTAACACTTCCATTAAGGCTATCGATCAGATAGATTACTAACAAAATGTCATAATTTATTGGAGCGAATAACATTATGCAGATATCCAGCCACTAACCAAAACTTTGCATGGATAACATCAATCTGAAACCATCCCCAAACCACTCTCATGAGCAAGACCAACACTGATACAGAAAGAGCAAATTTATTTGTAGGTAATTACAAAATTAATTACATTTGTATTCATACTTTGTACTCACTGATATTCACAACATTCGAAGTGATGTGACAATGACGTTTGGGATATCGTTCTTGTTCACACATGTTTTTAAATACTGAGAATAAGGCTATAGTTTTCATGCTCCACGCGTCTCAGTTGATTCTCGTTGCCGTTGACAACACAAACATCAGAAATGGACGTATTTGTAATATTGTGCTCCCTAAAATTAAAAATGAAGTGAAGAGAATAAAGAATGTTAGATGTTCAGCATCTCCTAGTCAACGCACAGAAGGTATAAAAATGAGTATTTCTACAGTAATTACCTTGGGAAATCAAGACACCGAATGTTCAACACAATAATGACAATGACATTTGTTTTATAAACAAAATAAAGTGAAAATAACATATCAAAATGTAGATCTCCGTATTTAAGTCCCAAATGACTGGCAACTATCAACAAAACAATTCCGAAGAACAAAACAACTGTCACTACACAAGTACACTACACGACATTGGTATATATGAAGCGTTGTGAGTGAGGTATGTTGACAAAAGTGGACAAATCATTCTCCATATATGACAAATTTATTATAGTAAAATCAAAATCTTTTTTTCCCATATGCTCTTAGATTCAACGCACGGGTCTGGGTATGAAGCAGAAGAAGCGGATTCTATACTATCCTTAATTGCAAGCTCAGATAGATATATCACTAAATTTTAAATTATTGATTGAGAATATATGACCAATATATGTGAAATTAAAGGATTTAGTATCATTGTACTTTTTTTCTCTAATTGTTGTAGAAATTAATCTTCATAATGATAAAGAATAATTCAGCCAGAAAGGGAGCACAATTTGTTCCAATTGTGATGCCAATAGTTTGGTGAAAAACATAACCTCCTATATATTCTAGCATACTAATTTTTTTCAGTCTTGAGCTGAACAAGTAGAACCATTTTATTAAGAAATACAGATGGAAAATGTTCCCAATGCGTGACTTCAATTTATCAATTATTGTAATGGTATACAGGGTAGAAAAATCCAAATTGCAATTGCAATAACTTTTAAGATCTTGAATGCAAGTTTTCCGACGCAATTGTAACATCACTGAATTACTGACTGGCGACAACAAAAATACTACTACTGATGCGAAGCAATAGTAAAGATTTATATATTCACAGTAAGACGATGTGTCGTCGGTTATAACGCCTCACATCAAAAGATCAAATGAAGTTCATTGCCTGCGATTAGATAATCACCTGACACTTTGGTGAGATTCCAAGACAAGTTGATAAGTTTAATTTTGTTAATATAGATTTTAGCATGTATGATTTTCCGTCGATTACTTATGGACCTGCGATCGATCTTAGTTGTTGCGTGTTTACTAACTATTCGCCTAATTTACATTCCAAAAAATTCTCGGGCGATCGTTAACATCTAGTTTGTCTGGATTGACCCGTGACGGAATCCAACGCTGGGACCAAAACATTGCCGTCACCTGTGAGTTTTATCTCTATTTGCGGGAAAACGTAGCCAAAATGCTGTCTAAATATGTTCAATACAACCTTATAGTTGTAAAAGTGTGGCTTCGGTTTGAGGGTTTTTCGATTATATTTTACTGCTGGGGGAGATGGCTATTCACAGTTAAATGTGTCGAAATGCAGGAATCGATGAGGTGAGGGTGGATTTACGAACATCTCACCGACTGAGGGAAGTATTGCATAAACTAACTACTAGTAAATTGTTAAAATACAAACATGAAAAACAGGTCCTTTTCAACACGTACAATTAGATATTTTTCTGAGGGGATCACTGATACAAAAATACGGTCTTGCTAAATGTCTAGCAAAATACTTATATGAATGTTTAAACCTAGGAGAACGCAAATTAAAAAAACAGCTGCCTCATAGGTATCTAAATAAGTAATCCTAACATTTGCTCTATGAATATGCATTTGTAATCCATTTTCGGGCAAGCTTTTTTCTTTCAACCATGCTTTATTGTACTTTATTGGACTTATGTCCATATATTTATTACGTAACGCATGTATTATTCCATGTTAAAATATTTCCGGTGTGATTCCGATAGAAGTAAACACCAAAACAATATTAGAATAAAGAACTGAGTTCGAAGAAAGCATATGTCGATACAGCACTCAAATTTATCCGTAATTGGATTATTCACTAGTGTGATGGTGCTGTTTCTGGTTCTTTGTTGAACCTTTCATCAGTCGGAACAGTACTTGACCGAATTGTTCGATTTATTTATCGAGTTATTTTCAGATTTAATTGTTAATAAAATCAGTAGTATGTATGTAAGTTGCCTTTTAATGATTGGAATTAAAAAGTTATCAGTCAATTATTTTACTTTCTCTGTCGGACCAGAACAACCCTGAATATTGGTCTACCGACGAATATACTTCCCTCTGTGGTGGCATGTGTACTTTAGGCAGTAAATACCACCGCGGCGTTCTAACTTTGTAGTTAAATGGGTATGCTAATGATACGTGTCGTAATCGATTAATTCCAGGTTGTACATTTCTGTAACAAGCTCATGGACCAAATTAGTTGTAACCATGGTATCGTTACCACAAATTTTAGTATAGTATTGCTCGTTGTTTATATAGTCATTTGTATTCATGATTGCAATGCCACGACCTTTGTCGAATGGTTTTTATTACAATTGTGTTATCATGATGTAGTCTATTTATTGCTGCTCTTTCGGTAAAATTCATTTGTTGTTTGTTGTTTGGGGTTTGGATATTTCAACTTTGGTTGCCTCAATGCAGTTTTATGGGAGTCTGGTGGGTTCCATGTTGAATTCAGTTTGAAAGGGTGTTGTTGAGATTGTTTATTACGCTTTAAATATTCGATACGCATTCTCCTAGATAGCACAGACATGTCTCTGAGCAAAGTGTGATAGGTTGGCTTAGGTGGGGTTCGTATAAATTTGAATCCGTTGCCAAGGGCAATGACCTGTGTTAGGGTTAGAATTTTTTGGTTTGGTTTGTGTGCCGAAGCACTTATTTATTTTAGGGTAGACGTGCGTTTCCTCCTCCCTCTGTTTTGCTAATGCAATAATTCGTTCAGTCAGTCCTTCTAGAGTCTTAGGAGCAGGGTACTAAGAATCCTTGCACCAACTTACTGGCGTGACAGCCCCTGCTCGCTCCCATGTTCTAGATGATCTTGGCTTTCATGCTTTTGTCCTGAGAAAGGTACTTGGGATATATGCTGGGGAACCTTTTGATATGAGTGCGTTTCCCTGGAAAACAGTGAGGAAAAATATAATTGCATTAATCTGCACGGTTCATAATGTCTTTGCTAATCCTTAAGAACATCATATTGACACAAATTGTCAATAGTTTCATGAATACACACCTGTAAATTTTAATGAAAATTTATACTGTACTTTACTCCACTAGGTTCATCTGCATTTTTTTAAGTAAAGAGTGTAATTTATAGTAGGTAAACAATACTAAGGGGGGAGGGGACAACACGTTGAACTCTGACGGTTAGCGTCAAAGTAGGGGTGGTCAATCAGCTAGCAGTAATCGCTTATGGTCATACCACATTTCTGGGTAAGATAAACATGTATTTTAAGGAGAAGCATTATTAGTTTATATGTTATGTACCTCTTGCAAAGTGGTCAGTGCAGATTCTTTTGCTGTCACAGGCTCTCCAGTCAACAGGCCTTACAT